CTGCTTCTGAAATATGGCAAAAGCTCCTGTTAAGTGCACCTTGTTTTCCTGGATTCCTTCCATCCATCTATCCATCCATTCATCCATCCATCCATCCATCCATCCATCCATCCATCCATCCATCCATCCATCCATCCATCCATCCATCCATCCATCCATCATTTCCCTCCTTCCCTCTCTCTCTCCTTCCCTCCCTTCCTTATTTGCAATGCTCCTCACTCAAGTAGCAGTGAGTGCTTCTCCAGGCTTGTCTTTCAAAAGCCTTTTTATTCTTTTGGTCTTTTGGGAGGGGAAGAAAACCATGAGAGTAAGAAGGGCACTGCTGGAGACCTGCCTTTGTGTCAGCAAGTATTAATTAAAATAGGGCAGAGAATCATCTTGTCTCATGTAAAACCCTTCCCTCAGACAGCTCCCTGAGACTAAAGGGAAGCTAAATCCCCCAGCATTCAAAGGAGTTCTCCCCATGAATGCCCATGAATCCTGGACAGCTGAGGTCCCTCTGGAGCTCTCTGCCTACCTTGTTCACCATTGTCTACATGCAAGTGTTAAGTGGAGCTTTGCAGACATGGTGAGGGAAGTGTGGAGATTGCATTATGCAAACAGCCTCAGCTCCTGCTCGCAGCCTCAGGCACTGCCATCTGTGCCTGCCTGGCAAGGGGACGCCAGACACAGCACTGGTGGTGTTTCTCACCTTTTGAAAAAAGTGACAAAAGGTCTTTAATTATGAAAGAAGTAAACCAGAAACCACCTGGGCTACAGCTCACAGGGGGACTCTTCACAGAAAGGAAATGTATTTGCTGATGAATTATTCTGAGGGAGGAAGCGAACCAAAGGATTCCTGGATGGTTATTTTCCAGAAATTAGGTCAGTCGTAATCAGTTGCATAATTAATTGTTTGCCTAACTAGTTAACTCTTAGAGACCTTTATTGACTCGTGGTGACAAATGCATGCATGCATGTTTTACAGGAGAGGTCCCACTGTGCTTTCCAAACTGCATCTCCAGCACTGTGAGTTCTGGGACACAGCACTGGTGCTGCTGTGTGATACACAGAGGCTTATCCACAGCAACAAGGACAGAGGAAAAATTGTAATTACATATGTTTACACGTGAGATTTGGCTGCCTTTCAAGTGTCCTTTGAGGTGTTTGAGCAATAGTGAGGCTGTTCTGAACACAAGTCACCTATTTCCTCCTCAGTTTCTTGTGGCTACACAGCTTGCCCTCCTCAAGGATGAAGGCAGGTCTCTTCTGATGAAAATCAAACAAGACTAGCACCTACAGTATGGACAGTCACACTCGGAGGTCTCTTGTGAGGATGTGAGAACGATGACACTTGCCTGGTTTACACAAGTGCAAAAAGGATGGTGAAACCAAGACCAAAAGCACCATCAAGCTCATGTCTGCATAATGCTGTGCCCTAGGACAGACACTGAAGCTGAGCACTAGTTATGATGGTATTAAGTGTGTGGAAAAAATATTCTGAGTGTTCCCATGAAGAAAAAAAACTACCTTGCTGGGAGAAAATAGAGTACTGACACCTTGAAGGCTTTTTCAGTGACTAATGGGTATTTTCGGTGACTCCTTTGTAATCACATGAAAAGATGCCGCCATCCAGAGAAGGAAGGAAAACTGGTACTAAAAGTGGTGGTTGTGGGCAGCAGTGGTTTTTGAAGGAAGGAAGGAAGGAAGAACAAGCAGGGTAGCAGGAGAAATTGCTGGGAAAAAAACCCCAAACCTTGGTTAAACTGATGTGGTTGAAAACAGTACCATGGATATGCCACCTCTAGAAAAAAGCCTAGTTCAATACAATTTTTTGCCCAGTCCAGGCTCTTAACTCTGCAGAAAAACAGTCTTTCAGCACAGGTACAGCACTGAGCAAAATCACTGTTTCTGGTGCCATTGTTAAACTTGGTATTTGGCATAGCCTCCTGATAAATAGACCCCATGGTTATACTTAGAGACCCCATGGATCAGAGTGAATCCTCTCTGGCTGCAGGCCTTGGTGGAATGAAAAAACAGAATGGCTTTTGGGCTTTTCTTTGATGTGGGTTCTGGTAGTTTTTGGAGCATTTGGGTGCCATTTAAACACTGCCCTAATCTGGCTGTGCCTTTCTAACTTTTGATGTCCCCACTTTATATTTCCTCCCTCATCCTTCTGCAGTCTCCCCAGGACATTTAGGGCTGCCTCATGCCACCATGACATCTGTGGGACAAGACAAAACTGCATCTGGCAATGTAAGAGAAGAAAATTTTGAATCATCTATGTAAAAATTAGGGGGGTTTTTCCCCCAACAAAATCCAGGGAATATATAGAGTCAGAGAGAGGGATCTATTCATATCACCCTGATTTTTGTCAATTTTCTGGCTCAAACAATTACTATTTCAAAGCAGAATGTCTCAAGCTTGGCACAGGGCCAGTTATTCTCACAACAGTCACTCAAACAAATAACCAAAAATGAGAGACAGAGAGGCTGGAAGGCAGCATAAGAAAGAAGACTTGTTCACCCCAGAACAGAGAGCTATGAGCAGCATTCTGGTCTTCCAGCGGCTGATTTCTGAAGAAGTGTTTCTAAGGGATGTGGATTCCGTTCCTTACATGACAGCAGGTAAAAGCGGAGCACTTCCAAGCACAACCCATCATTGTGGAAAGAGACAAGATGGGATAAAGCTGAGGCAATGAAGAGGCAAGAGTATAGATGTCCAAGTGTTACATGCCTGTCCATGCAACATAGCCAAGAAAAGAAGAAATTGGGAGCATTTAAAGATAATCAGGCATTTGTACCTCACAATGAACTGCAGTGCAAAAGTGACTGGTGCAGTGCGGTGCCTGGATGGCCCCTATAAAGGAGCTGCTATCTCTTTTTCCAGAGACAGCACATACTCTCTCATATCAATCTTTTGCTTTTAAACCCCACTGACTTTACCTTTAAATTTTATCTCTCCATAGGATTTTTCCATGCAAATTTCTATTGCTTTCTTCCTGGGAACTATACTTCAGCTAAACTGCCTCTTTAATGCAGAATTTTAGCACTGGATATTCAAATGATTCAACAGAAATGTCCAGATTGCTCAATTCTGCCCTGCAATCTTCCACCCACTCACAAATACAGCACGTTCCCATCTGTGCACTGCTCTCATTGTGAACTTGTTGATTTTTCCTGTTCTTTTCTGGTGGGGGTATGACTTGGTGCAGGTGTTCAGGCTGGGGTAACAAAGACCCAGGTAACACATGGCAAACTCTGCATGAGACAGAAAACAAAAAATACAATATTTTAGTTACAGCAAGGTTAAACAAACCATATATCTGATGAATTGGGCCTGGAAAGATATTTTTGTCTCAGCCAGCATAATTTCTTTTGGATAACTAATGCTTTACAAAAGATTTTCAATGGACTTGGCGAAGTGGAGGGAAAAGGGCTCCTCTGCAATTTCTTAATGTTTGAAATCCATTCCTGAGTACTTTTATCCCTAATTAAAGGTCACCTACAGGTTTGTGAACAACTGTTAATGAAGAGTTTAATTATCCAGATGACAGCGATAAAATCCTATTCCTGGGCTTGAATATTTTAAAGCAACAACGCCCAGATTTTCAAGTATGTGCTTGTAGCCAAGTACTTAGACCAAAGCTCTCAGGGAAGAAGAGTGTGTATGTGCAATTCCCATTTGAATACACAATGGGAGATTGCATATGCCCATATTAAAGATGCAAATCTGTGAGGAGGTTTGTATGTGCTTACTTGACCATTTGAACCAGACCTACCTTTCTTTTCTGTTCTTTCATTCAGGGAGAAGAGGGATGGTTAAATTATTCCTTGAGGATAAATCATTTCACATTATTAACTCTTCTTAACAACAAAGCTGCATAAATTAAATGTAAGATTATCTGCAGTGTCCTCAGTGGAATGATTAGGAGTGAATCTACAGGAAAGAAATGTGGTCAAATGATTTGAAGACTTGCTAAATAGGATGCAAATCTCATCTTGAATTCTTAACAAGCTCAAACACAGACCTGCCTTCTAATGAGCAAACTCTGCTTGGCATATCTGTGTAATTCCCAGAGCAAAGTTGTAAAGAAAATGGATCATGGTTCATTTTCTCTACTGAGTCAGGATTTTGTTTTTATTGGCACTTTTGACCAGGTGCTGCTGGTGCTCCTATTACCTTTACCCATGGCAGCAATTTTTGTGATGCTGCTTTTGCTGCTTTTAGTCTGCCAAGCTAAAGTGGCCCCATTTCTCATTTCCCATCACAACACCTGATGAATGTTTCTTGGGTAGGTCAGGTTTGGGTTCTCCACAAGGTACATGCCTGGAAGGATGATGCTTCTATCAAAAAGATCAAGAAGTTGCTTTTTGTGTCCTCACTGTAGCACAGTCTCTTTGTGTCACTCTGATGGCACCAGAAGGGCAAAGAGAATAATAACTCTTTAACTCAGCATTTTTGGGGGCTTGGTGAAGACTAAAATGCAATGAATGGCCACAATGAATGGCAATTCTACCCATAATAGACAATTTCCCAGGTTTTCCCTGTGAATCAGAGCTAGGCTTTGATTCAGTTTCCTTGTTACTTTTGGCCTGTCTCTCCTTCTCTCCTGCTTACATGAGCATATGTGCACACACGGACACACACTTATTTGTTTGAGCAAAATACTAAACAAAAGAAAGACAAGCCCTGGCTCTAAAAATGAGGGGAAAACAATTAGAATGCATGACATAAGAAGAGCCATTCATATGAATTAAAGAGGAAAAATATGCCTGTCTGAGTTCTGTCAATGGTTAACATCTTATTTCCTAAGAAATATGGGTGAATACAAGAGATTTGTTAAAACAAAGAAAGGTCAGTCTTTCTGTGATATTTGCTGAAGAGGTTTCAAGCCCACTTTTCTGTGCTTTGTTAACTCTCCAGGAGGCTACAGGAGGGTTTTCTCTGCAGAGTCTCTCATCCGTAGGTCACAGTGACCTGACTGTGGGGGCTGCACTGCATAAAGGGAGCTCTCCAGATAAGCAGCAACATTTATTGCATACTTTGTCAACATATCTCTGGCTGCACACTTGTTCTCAAGGCACTCTGTTTTGATATTGGTTTTATTAAAATAGATTTCAGAAAGGGAAATGTAAAATAGTTTAGAGATTGCAACATAAACATGTTGTTCAAGAGCTGAGGAAACCCACACCAAACACCAGCAGGCTTTTTTGTATATTACAAGCATGGACAAAATGTATCCTGAGGTATTTTTTTCTTATACTGCTTTCTTCAAATAAAAACACTACTAAAATAAATAGATACAAAAAGACCAATATCTCACACAGGAAAAAGCACAGGTCCCAGAGTGTCCCTCACAATCTGGAAAATTATTAAAATTAAAATCAAAAGAACAGGTAAAGCTAAGGAGATCTAAGGACTAGAAGAGGGAGGATTTTGTCTCAGTAGCTGCACCATCAGTCTCTCACCTTTGGAGCTGCCACCAGAGCTCCTGAGCAGCAGGATGTGTGGGTAGGATGACATGTCCTCCATGAGGCAAGGTGTCCAATTTTACAGGCTTTACCTGTTCCTCAAGTATCAACTCATGTGTCCTCTGGAGGAAAGCCCATGGGTTTGGTGGCTCAATCCCAGGCCCTGGTCTGACTCTGGGTACAAGACACAACCCTGCAAGGTCTCTTTTCAGGGATGTTAATTAGCAAAACATATTTAACTGTGTCTTGATTCTGCAAATGTCTGGGCAATGGGTTTGCATGAAGATGGTCTGTATCAAGCTCATATGCCTGATTTACTAGAGGATTTACTAGACTGGCTTCTAGACTACTACGCCTGTGTTTTCCTGAGCTGCCAGGTCTCATTCCTGGTAAATGGACAGAGCTCAGGCAAAACAGCGTGACATGACACGCTGCAAGAATTTTCCCTATTTATCATCAAAAGTGGGGTAGTATTTACTAAAGAACATCCCTCATTTTTAGCCAAATAATAGATTCAGGACCCTTTAAAAAATACAACTAGATTATTTGTCATTTTAGAACATCATCATTCAGTCACTTCCATTGGGATGGGATTTAATGGCTTCACACCAGCACACTGTATATGACATAAAGCATTTGTGAAAAAAAAAAAGATTCCTCTGAGTAGTCAGATGATCTTCCCAGAGATGAAGTGTCTTTCCCACTTTTTTCTTTCATTCTTCCTCTTCCTGGATCTTGGAGGGAGTGTTACTTGTGTTGAGTAATGAAATTTCCCCCGCCAAAACACACTGTCTTTGATCTCCCCTGCTTTATGCACTAGGGAGCTGATAGTTCTTTCCCTGGCTAGGACTGAATGAATAATCACCTCCTGTTGTTATTCACATAAGATTCAGATGCTAAAATGTGAAGCTGATGACAGGGGAAATTATGGATAGAAGCATCAAGATTTGCTACTGAAATTTTATGAGCTGTAGGTAGGAAATATTTAAAGCACATCACATTTAACCATGGAGACTCCAAGCTTTTATAATTTCATGGGGCAGAACTGTGAGTTGTTTGTGAGATGGGAATGAAGCCCAGACTGCTCTCCTGGTGTTTTCTTTATGCCCACATATCCACACATAATCAGCATGATAAAACCCTACCCATCCATGAATCTTTGTTGCAATTTGGAATGATGAACCATGCAAAAATTAGATATTCAAATCATGTAAGAAGTCAGTACATTCATTGAGATGTTAGTAAAAATCCCTGTAAAACCAGGAAATCTTGACTAAATTTTTTTCTTTCTTCTTTTTAACTTTGTTGTTGTTGTCGTTGTTGCTGTTGTTGTAGCTATTTCAACATATGTAGCTTATGATTTATTTCAGGTCTTCAAATCTGGACCAGCACATAGTAATGTGTGCATGAAGGATTTTTTTTTTTTTTTTTCAGAAGGGAAGGATAAATCCCAAGAGGATTAGACAAAAAATTAACTTTTCATGTGAGCTTTTGTGCAGGGATTTAAAAACCACATCTAGAGCCATTGTTCTTTGTGCAGCCCAGGCAGTACAATACACAAATGCTGTTGTATGGCAAACCTGCCTCACACATCTTGGTGGAGCAGTCCATTGGCCCATGCTGGCATATCCAAGGCTCCCAGACACACAGGTGAATTCAACTTTGTGAAAACAACTTTAAAGCACACCCTTTTTATTATGAGGGGTTTCTCTTGCCCTCATTCTTGCTCTTTCTTACCTTGAAAAGAAACCCTAAACCAAACCAACGCTTGAATACAAACTCAGACAAAACAGGTTTCTCTGAGCCTGCCAATCTAAACCAACACAAATACCACCCAAAGTGACACTTCTGTGCAAGGTAAGGCAGGTCCACACAGTGTGGAACAGCAAAGATCCATCATAGCTAGAGATGCCTCCTGCCTCCCTGCTGTGCTCAACAGAAATGGAAACATCATGAGATATTCTCATTCCTGGCAAGCCTGTGCTGGAGGAGGGCTTAAATTGGCCTTCTGTCTCCTGTAACCCCAGGAGATTTGATTAATGAAAAAAGCTAATTATCTGTATTGCTATAACACAATTCACAGGAAAAGAAATTAATTCTACATATTTTTTGAAACCGTATATAACCAGTACTTAATCCTCAATAAGCAACTAACATCTTCCTTGGATGAAGGGAATCTCTGCCTGCATGGTGGGAGATACCAGTTTGTGATCTCATTTATTTCTTGAGACAGTTCTACATGAATACTTTGGCACTTTGTTCTTCAAGAATTGATGAAGATGATATGTCATCACTGATCGTTGTTCATTGAACAAAAATAGGGAATTGGAAATAATTTTTTTCATAAAAAATAAGTTTGCATGTTATGCTGAAGTCATTATTCAAATTTACATACTTGCAAGTGATTAGCACACTGCCTCAGACACAAATTTATGCAAGCATTTCATTTCAAGTGATTCAGGGGAACCAAAGAATAAATAGTACCATCACCGTTTTTTGATGCAGGAGGGCAATGGCCATTTCTTGTGTGGAAAGTATGAGCAGATGAGGAGATCTCTGTTCTGTAAATCTGGGCTTGCATTTCACAGCACCCAAACCTGCTCAAGAGAATGAAGAAATCCCTGCGGAAAGTCTTGGTGAAAATGGCGTAGAGGAAAGGGTTTGCGCAGGAGTTGATGGGGTAAAACAAAACCAGGAGGATCTTGGAGTTAGTCACTGTGATGAGAGGAACCTTGAGTGAGGCCGATATGGCAAAGAAAGATATTGGTGCCATGCAGAGGAAGTCAGTGAAGATCAGGACGGCCATGCGCTTGGCAATCTTTGTGTCGCTGTTGGAAGAGACAACGTTGGGGTTGCGCACGGTGAAGTAGATGCAGGTGTAGCAGACGCAAATCACGACGAACGCAAGAACATTCAGCACTAAGAGAAACATAACATAAGCCTGGGCAAATGCTGTTTCGATATCCATGGGCAGACAGATGCTGACCTTCATGTAGCTGCTGACCCCGAACATGGGAAGGAGTGCTACTGTGAAGGCAAACACCCAGCCAAAAATCATGACGATCACAGCATGGCGCAAGCGCACCTTGCGGTGCAGCTGCATGGCGTAGGTGATGGTGTGCCAGCGCTCCAGCGTGATCACCGTCAGCGTGTACACCGACAGCTCACTCGCAAACACTGCAAAAAATCCTGCAGCGTTGCAACCTGCCCCAGTCTGCCAGTCTATGGCGTAGTTGTAGTACTGGCTTTTGGTCTGGATGTCTACAGAGGCAATAAACAGCAGGTAGATCCCTATGCAGAGGTCTGCAAAGGCGAGATTGCACATTAGAAAGCGAGGAACGGTGAGTTTGTATTGACTGCTTATTAAAATAATGAGGACAACAGTGTTCCCAGTAATAGCTAAAATGTTGATGAACCATATCAGGACTCTCAGAATGTTGTATCCCATGATATCTTCACATGGGTTGAAAGCATCAGGTTTAGGAGAGCAGGCTACATTAACTACTTCATTGCATAAACCATAGTCAAATTCATTCTCTGCTGGGTCAAATCCTATGCCGTAGTTGGAAATGAAATCTTCAGCTGCAGACCTTCTCTGTAGTTTTTTGCCAGGTTTTTCCTCAAAATCTTGCTTCACATGCGATATACTACATATTGGATGTAATTCGGTCCTGAAATTGTAAAAAGAGTAGAGTTGGAAGCTAAGAGACACAGTATGAGGCAAAAAGCAAACACAAACTCCTCCAGTTTCCATTAACAGCACAGTTTTTCTGGTTAGCTGATTATATAGATTACCCTGGAGCCTGAAATTAATAGTGTGGCTGGTTCCTATTTATAATATACTGCAAGAACATGTAAATGACTTGGAAACCTCATAAACTGCACAGGAAAGGCAAACCTAATGTTTGCCTAATGCTCATGATGCAGTTATCCACCTGGATAACACACTCTGTAAGAAGCCTCCCTCATTTGAAATGAATCTCTTACCAAAGCTGTCAGTGACAAGCATGGGGGAAATGCATGACAATGAACACCAGTGTAAGACTGAGCTTTGAGGAATGAGTCAAGTCAGCTGGGAATGCTCAAATTCCCTTTTTCCTAAATGTTTTGACCACCACCATCTTATAGCTCTGCCATGGCAAAAAATTCAATTTTGTGCTGTTCATTTTTAGTACCTCATATCATATTAGTGATTAGCCAGTAACGTAAGTAAATAGCACAAATAAATTCATGCAAGATTCCAGATAATCTCTAGAGGACAGATGCCGACAGAAACAAAAGGCATAGAAGACCATTTTGCTTAAAAACTGATTTTTAAAAGAAGTTGATTAGAAATCAAGTGAAGTGAAGCAAAATAAAACCAAACCAAACCAAACCAAACCAAACCAAACCAAACCAAACCAAACCAAACCAAACCAAACCAAACCAAATCAAACTGAAGGTTCTAATGGAAAGAGCAGTAGCTTTTATTTCTGTCAGAAAGTATTTTTTAAACATTTTAAGAATTTTAGTAGCACAAGTAAATACTAGCATTTTTGACAGTTTTGTTTTTGGCTTTATTATGTAGAGTATTAGTTCTGTGCCCTTCTCCGTACATAGACCTACTGAAGAAACAAATATTTTGGCTGACGGTAGAGAGATGATCAGCTCCAAAAAGATCATAAATATCAAGAAATATCAAATGTAAACATGAAATGAATGTTGAGTTTTTATAATTGCTCTTTGGCTGTCTTAGAATTTGGCTGTCCCATGAACTTGCATCCACAGTTTTGGATGCAGACCTAATCTGAGTTATGGAATAAACCAGTTAACATTTTGTTGTAAAACCAACCCAGTTCAGCTCTGCCTACATTCAGCTACAACCCAGACTGTAGCTTAGGTGTGTAATTTCTAGGACAGAACCCCAGCCTATTTTCCACTCCGACTCTGAGTACAGTTGAGAGAAGAACTCTCTAGGCAAGTAAAGTTAAAATTTTGTACAACTGGTAGTAGCCTAAAAAGGAGGATTCTTCTTTGTAACCTAATTTTACCTTTTGACTTTCTGCACTCACTACATCTTCTGAAAATTGAGTTTAAAGGGTCTGCAAGAAAGGAAAACTAATGAAGGTCCAGCATCTGAAGGTGAGAGACATTTCCTATGAGATTCTGAACATCCTCTACTATTATCAATATTTTTTATCTTGCCTGTCAACCGAGTCAGAAAACTGATTTTCTGTGAGGTCAAATATTCACTATGAAGGTCACAGTAGCAATAACAAGGCATTACATTTTGCTCTCCTGTGTTCTACTCGCATAAGGATGAGTGAAGGGTCCAGAGTATTGATCAATATATCAACAGTTCTCTGGCTGAAAGGGAATATAGGCTTCCTAGAAGCAATAACAGGAGAAAAAGTCCCTCATTTTTTAGTGCAGCGGGCACTTGGGGGCACTGAAAGCTACAGAAATTGGTGGTTCTTTGAAAATGAACTGAAGGAAATGTTTGTAGCCAATCATTTCTCAGCATGAGGTAAAAATAAACTTTTTTCTAAAATTTTGGATGCCCTGCCTGGACTAAAATATATACCCAGGCAAGAGTGATTCATAAGGACAATTAAATATTTCTGATTATCACAATTAATTCTTGCCTTATTTTTACAGCCAGTGTCCCACATAAAAGCAGGATCCCAAGGAGTGAGGTGTTTGTTCCAAGGAAGGGTAGCGGGGAGTGTCCTGCTGGTTCTCTTCATTGGGGGCAGGTAGGATGAAATTCCCAAGGAAAGGAAGAGCCATCCTCTGATACTGACTCTCTGTCATATCTTTGCCCTGTGTTTCTCACCCTTTGGGCTGTGCAGTGCACTCAGAGCAACAAGTTAAAACATTATTTCCCAAGGGATGTCTGGGTCCTTGCTTCTTGTTGAGACCATGGGTGTCATGATACAGTTAATTCATTCCCTCTCTTTGTAAACTTTTCTTACTGTTTAACATTATTTTGCTCAAGTAAACTAGAAAAATAAACTGCAGAAAAGGCAACGTAGAGAACAAAATTGAAATTGGCAGAGCGCTCTGACAAAAACCAACAAAAATTACTACCTCTGTACAAGTTGTTATTTAAGTTGTTATTTTATGTGCCTCATCTGGATCTGGCGGCAGCAGGATCGTGTGTGCTGAGAAACATGCTCAGCAGAATAAACAGTCTTGACCTGTGTTCTGTGATAAGTCCTATCTCAAGGCAATCATCCTCATCAAAAGTCATTGAGTGAGTTGTGAGCAATTGATAGTAAGTTCTTGTGAGATGAGGCCTCAACACCATTCCTGATGCTGCCACATTTTTTTAAAAAATAGGATTTCAAGTGGCAGCTCCTCCGAAGAATAACAATCAAGTGTAAGGACAGAGTCATATCAATGCCATTCTTTTGGGCAGAAGGTGATCTTTATGTCAAAGAAAGCCAAAATCTTGCTGAAGTTTGTAATGGTCTATGTCAAGTTAAGGGTTTTAACGTCTGGCCTCTGCCCTATCTATACTTCAAGGATATTATTTTCCAATCACAGAAAAATGTAAGGGGAGTTCAACATAATGTACTAGACTTGTCTTAAGAATGCAGCTTACCTTTTCTTAGGCCAGCACCACATTATTCAAACTACAGATCAATATTTATCATGAAATCCTTATTGGAATGAGAAAAAAACCTCAAAACTATCTCATGTTTTAATGTGTTTCTCAGACTGGCAGAGCTGTGCTTGATGTGGCATCCTCCAAAACTTAGAAAGCACTGTTGCTATAACAGATTTCAGCTTTCCATTATCACAACAGCACCTGTTTGCTGCTGCACACAGTTTTTAGAGAGGTGATTGAGCATGATCCACTATGGTAACTTATTTTATCTAGGGATTTGAGTGCTGCAAAAGTCTCAAAACCAGGAAATTAAACATGAACAGGCAATCAGAAAGGGGCTGCACATCCCTGTCTTAATTCCTTCCCAGAGTTCTCATGTGAACACCAGCTGCTTCTGTGAGCCTTAGAAATGCACTTCTAGGGGTGATGAGGCATCCTTTTTATACTCCCTGGACTATCTGGAAGTATTTTGTGAGCCAAATGGTCACAAGGAATGATTGTCTCCTGTGAAGGTGCAGAACAAGCCAGGTCACACCAGGGTTCCCATCACCACAAGCAATGCCTGCTGCTCTGAGCCAAGCACAGCTCCCACCAAAGGAATATTACACATTGTGCAATCAAGCACTATGCAAACTATTAATAACTTCCAAACAGCCTGAGCAGCCTTCAGTGCACACACAGCTTGTGCCAGCTGTCATGAAAACTGCTTCGAAATGAAAGAGGGTGTATCTACTGTATGTGTGACTAATCTCTGCTGAAGTGTATGGTAATACTTTCAGTCTTCAAACCAAACACATGCATTCACTTTCTCTCTTTAATCTGGAGAGAGGATCTCAGTTTCACACCAATTTCAGTACAGGAGACATGACTGCATGAAAGAAATGACAGTTTTTAATTATGTTAAAAAGAAGCTGACAGAATGGTTCATCTAAATAATAGGTTCTCATAATTTTGCATATATGCCTAATGTTTGGTAGAAAAATACACATAGTAACTATTAAAGGTATGGATAAATGTTCAATTTTGTTCTGTTGACCAGGGAGTTACAGCTGTGACCAGACTTGCTCCAGAAGCAGCCCCACCATGGCATGGTGTTCCAGCCCAGACTCCAACATCTGCACTGGTTGGAGCTCTTCACAGGTTTCTTGGCATTTCTTTGCAAAATTGCACTTACCCAGGCTGTGGAAAGGGCTGTGTTATGTTCTCCTTGTCTTCTTGCTAGCCAGGGAAAGGCTTCCAAAAGTGGGGCTGTGCTAAAGGGGAAGTGAGTGCAGTGGACTTCAAGTCCGTGTAGTGAGTGTGTGGCATGGAAGTTTTTCAAAGCCCAAGTGAGGGGACTAGATCCTGAGAACTTACCATGGGGTCAGGACTATTTCCTCCTGTAGCTTCCCTTCAAAAGCAATGTTTACTTTGTTACTTTGTTTTTGAAAAGTCCAGTTGACTAATTTAAGGGGTTGATTCTGGGATTTGGGTCCTGATTAGGCCCAAGCATCCCCAAACACAAGTACTTTCAAAAATATGAATCAAAGTGATATCAGTGTTCTTTGCAAATCCAGAACTATACATGCTTTCACTGAACTCATTGGAAAATAACACATTGCCGCCAGTTCTGGAAGGACTGGACCCATTTCTGCCTAGAAGCCACCAGGCACTGTGTCTACATAAGATTGCACAAGTGTGTGAAAATGTTGCCTGCTGATCAACTGTTCTAGTGAAAACTTAGTATTGTGGATCAAAAATTTCTGTCATCACTACAGTCTCCACCATCACAATTACACTCTTTACAGTTTTGAAAATGCATGTAGATTATATTTATTAGCTATCAGCAAACTCAGTTATCTTCCCTTGTCTGGCAACCATCCAGTGCTAAAAGTAAAACAAAGAGCTATTAAAGGTATTAAAATAGAAGCTACTAACAGTTTATGCTTTCTCTGTGTGGTTTTACGTTTCTTTGAAGTTTTTTGCCACTTCTGAAGGTGATGTCTTGAATTGTAACAATGGTTCATAATTTTTTTTTTCTGCCAAGCCTTTCAGGACATCCAGTAAAGGAAGAATTTCAAACAATACCAAGGGTTTTCATAGGTACCAGTTCCTCATGCTTTCCAGTGGCACAGATTCAGAGGTTCATCAACTACTAAACGTGAACATTTCAAGACTGTATGATAAAGGTAGAAATACTCAATGAGAATCATTGATACCTAAAGCCTCACTGCAACTTGTCAATGGAAAATTAAAAACAGCATGAAAAATTGCCTTTGGAGTCTAAAAAGGCACCTTAGCCTCCTGCCCTGCTCTGTTGGTTTGTGTGAAATGGATCTGCTCAGGAAACATGTCCCAAAATGCTGTGAATATGGGCTCAACAGATAATGTATCTGTGATGCTTGGCTGGGCAGTGCTCCAACATCAATGAGGCTTTCTGAAAGAAGAGTTTGGGATCACTCAGTGGTCCTGTTGCCCTCCTGGACTGATGAACAAGTATTGACCAGCTTCCCTGCAAACACAGCCTTCCCTCCAGTTACCTTCTGAAAAAGTTAGCAAAAGTTTTCTGTTTAATGTCTTCAGTGTGGCTCCAGGCTGGTCCCAGTTAGAGATGGATTTATGAGAGGTGAGGGCAGAGTTGTGTCTAGGGAAAGTGCTGATGCTATCAAAATTTAAAATTCCCTGCAATGGAGAGGCAGTGCACTGTGTATCATGCATAAACCTGTATGTATTGTGTATTAATCTATTTCCATCCACTTACTTACCTGCACTGAAGAGACCTTTTCTATCCACATTTTGAGAATTTTATTTAATTCACTATCAACTGCTGAAAAGCACCAAAAAGAGAAACAAATTAAACCACTTACTTTTGTCTTTTCCAGTTTGTAAATGCACAGCAATGGCTAGGATAGGTGAAGTTTGCCTCAATCAAAGATCTAAATTTGCTTAAGTCAGGAAGCTTTTTTAAATTGTATGTAGACCTTGCTCTTAGCTTCTTAATGAGTTCTAATCCATGACTTGGCAGGAAACTGATTTTCGTGCTGGAAATATCCCTTTAAGAAAACATATGAAAATCTTGGTAAAAAGCAAATTTACTTCTGCTCAACAATGGATATGTGTTTTAGACTGTCCTACTCATGGTCAGAGTAGTGACTGGAAACAGATCAGCTGGAAATCTACACTAAAAAGATGATTCAGTGCTAATTTGGGTGTTCCTCCAGCAAACTGAGCTAATCCATTGCAAACAACAATCAAGTGATGTTAGACTGTGAGAGCAAAAGAAAAAAAATCCCATAATGTTTTGGATAAAAATTAGCAGGCATATAAACTATTACTGCAATATGATGCTGGGTTTAGTAATACCCAGAAACTGCAGCAATCATCCCATAATACGGTTAAAGGACAAAAAAAGGCTGATAAAATCACAATAGAAGTTTGCTATAAGAACATCACATCACGGGAAGGCTGCTGTGGAAAAAGCAATAAACACAAAGAGAGAAGCTCACATGTGGGTACAGGTCGGGGATATCAGATTTTGTACTCATTAGGAAGAAAACCATTAAAGAGAGACAGAGGTGGCATTGTTCAGGCTGTTAGGAACAAAAAAATCCTAACAAAACCTTCTTGGAGGTTTAGAAAACAAATATAACACAGACTGAAGGAAAGAAAAGGGCAGGACTGCAGGAGGTTGAGGGAGATGTGTTTATGTGAAGGCAATTACTGTGGGACAGGCTCTGAGAGGCAGTGGTGGAATCTGCAGCCATGAATGAACTAAAGAGAGCATTAGAGGGGCTTTTGAAAGGAAACATGTTCTGCATGCACTTAAATCTTGACTTGTGCCATGCAAGGGACGAAGGGAAGAAGGACCAAGGGTGCTCCATCTCCAGGCTAAGAGATACTCGGAAATCCATCCCCATAGCTCCAGACTGTAACAGCTGGGGCAAAACAGCTCTGCATTTCCTTTATTGGGACATAAACCATGTCCCTCAGATCATTGCAGCCTGAGATCAACTCCTTTCTCTGAAGATCAAAACTGCACAAAATCACACTTCCTCCTCTAAGTCCTGGGCTCTCAAAGCCTGAGACTGGTCCAGGATGCAGAGTTTGCTGAGGCTGCTCTGCTCTTTATTCTCCAAGAAAAGATTTCTCCCTAATCAAGGAATTGGACTGACAATATTTGCAGTTTTCTCCATGATCCCTCAAAGGTACAGTTTCCAATTCAACTTTGACAGTGTGATGTCAGGACATTTTACTTGATCTCTATCACCCAACACACACAAATTGCTTTTATTACTGCATTAATACAGAAGAGTGGTGCCATGTGAGGATGAGACAAGGTTTCAACAGCATGTAACAAAGTTTAGATAGTTGCTGTGTACCAAACACACATTTGCACCTTTGTTCTCTGGTCTAGAAAGCAAAATTTATACCAGGAAAGGGCCCTGCTTGAGTGCCAGCCAAACCTAAGTTCATAGGCAGATGATAAAGCAGTTTGTAAAATTGGTGAAGGTGATCTCTGTGTCCATGCTGTGCCCACAACTGAGGCTTTACGTCCAGGCCGTGAAGGAATGTGCCACCTTTCAACAGCTGGACAATGGGCTGTGGCAGCAGAGAAGCAAACACAAACTCCACTCCGTTGCCCCAGTTGGGACCGTGACTTTTACAGGAAGACAGACTGGTGTAATCCAAAGTGCTGTGCACTTCTGCAGGGCAGGCTGAGAGGAGCCACACCTCTCACAGAAGAGGTCCTGAGGTCCTGGGCCTGTTTCTATAGGAGCTAAACCTGGCAGCTGATGAGAAGTTTTAGGCTATTGATTTTTACCTTGGATGCCTGAAGAGGTAATTAAGCTGCAATGAGCAGCCTCACTTCTCACTCTGACTACTGCCCTCAGTGCTCTGCCTAATGAAAACTGTCACCCAGAGTATGTGCTCATGAGTCAAAAACTAAACAGCAGGTTTCTGCCTAAATCTACAGACAGCATCACTCATGGCATCATTCTGAAGATGTGTAACTTCATAGTTCTGAACAAGAGCGCAGAAAAAAAAAAAAGTTTTCTTTGGCTTGTTAGCTAAAAAGCATTACTGCATCCAAACTATTTTTATACTCAGTGGAAATAAATATGAATAGGAATAGCACTTAAAAATATATAAAAGTTTTCTGAATCTTTCATAATCTCTAAATAGTTTCAAAGATATTAAATAGCTTTTCCACAAAAATTTTTTTTCTTCTTATTTAAAAAACTTTTATTTTTATGCTCATTATCACACATAAACAGAAATGAGTTAGGGAAAGTGCTTTGCATACCACTGTGGGTTATTTTTCAGTATGTCTGTGAGGGATAGCTATGGATACACCACTGACAAGCCCTGAAAAGCAAACACAGGCATTGTGCAGGTGGTTTAGTAAATTACTGCACTGAGTTACCACACACACACCTCAGCGCAGAGCTTCTTTGGGACACTGTTCTCTAGTTAGAACCTTGATAAATTAAATAAGCCTGATGAACAAGATTATAAAGTGGCAGTAGGAAATCAAACCAGAAGGCATCAGCAATTGAAATACGTGTTCTTGTGTTATCGTTGCTTGGCTCTGAGTCATCAGCCTTGACAGCAGCCGGTACAGGAACAGCAAAATGAAAAACCTTCTCTTCCAATCACTTCCCTTTCCCACTGGGAGTCTCTGTTGGATTAGCAGAAGTACTGACCATCTGATGAGGTCTGAAAGACACCTACAGAAATGGCAAAAAATAGCTGCTGGAGCAGAAATCAGAGCAGGATAGGCAGATTGCGGAGAACAATTTTCTTTGTGCTTGTATCTAAACTGATCTCTGGCTGCACTTCAGGGGCTCAGCTGTGGAGCTGGGGATCTACTGGAGCTCTCCTGCAGCCTCTATATGTGGGATTACCAATGAAGAAAAATTACTAGGGTGGGATGGGCCACAGCCATGCCTCACCCTGCATCGATCTAGGATGCAGCCAGAGAACTAAGGACACCAGCAAAGGCTGGTGCAAGCCACTACAGCTCTGAGAGGAGCAGCAGACAATTAAATTAAACAGTGCAGCTGAAAATTGAAGCTATGAAACTCTAAGTTGGAAAGAGAGTGTGTATCTGTATAGAAGGAGTATGTATAGTTGTGTGATTTATTAGCTATTTGATTTACTGGCCTACTGTCAATGCCAAAATCCTTTAACTCAAAATTTGATGTCTTTCCCAAAGAGAGATTCTAATTCAGCCAAGAGCTGTAAGTCTGAGAGAGGAATTAATTTGTGAAACTCTGTAGCCTGCACGAGGCTTATGACTGGTGCTGTCTATTTGTGTTTGTGTTTCTTTCACATTACTTTAATATGATGAATTATAAAATACAAGTTGGCATTAATTGACTCCTTAACACTGGTTCAGGAAGATCAAGAGTTAAACCACCTTGATATTCATTCTATTAGAGCACTGCAGTCTGCAACATGGATTTGATTGCAGCAACAGTAAAAATAAGATTTGTCCCAGCAAAGATATGATTATGGGTCAATCATTTCCAAAGCGAAAGCACATCCCTGGTGATGGATGAGTAAGAAGGCTCTTCTTTCATGATCTCATCCAGGATAAAAAGGTAATTTCCCATCCATGGAATAGAGGATGTATTGGTAATGAAACAGAAAACTTTTTATACAAATAACTCAGTGTTAGAAATTGAAATATCAAATTAATCTCAACTACAGGCAAATCAATTTGATAAACCTCCAGAATATGATTGTATCAAGTATAGCTTGCAAAGAAAATGCACTTACTTTTCACTACAGGAAACAATGATTTCCCAAAGAAACACCTATGATATTACTGATTCAAAGATGCTCCAGTGTCAGTCTTTTCCAAAGAGAGAAGATGCTTTGAAGAAACAATGTAAGTGGAGCAGAATGCAGTAAGCCCAACTCTTTATATCACAGGTGCACTGACCATCACACAGTGGAAAATGAAGCCTTCAGAAGAGCTCTGGACTCAACTCAAGGTTAATCAGTCATTTTTTCCCCTCCTTTTCAGATTTGTAACTACTTTAGCATCTGTGCAAAATCTTCCAACAGCTCCAATGACCCCTCTCATTTGTTTGGGGTGATTTTTAGCCCTCTCTAGACAACCAGCATAGATGTAGAGAGAGAAAGGTTCCAATGAAGCAGTGAGATGAAAAAGGAACCTCACTTCTCTCTTGCAGCCCTTACATGTGGTGGCTTGTGCTCAGAAACACAGAGAGCTGTGCAAACTCATACATTTTTGGAGCCTACAACAAACTGTGGCTTGAGGTAATGGTGGCTGAGATCCATGAGCATCCTACTGCTGAATTTTCTACTGCTGAGTTCTCAATTCCCAGCTCATCACCCACCAAGGACATCCTGCTGTGAGATACTGTGTGGGACGTATCTCATACCTATCTCCATCCCCATCCCTGTAGGATGGGAATTTTGCTTCAGAATTAAGTTGCACAGAGGCAGGGGCAGATCTTCAGTAGAAAGTAATTCTGATTTCAGCACTAAGAACAACTCACCCGGTCTTGATTTTGCTCAAACAGAAAACCAAAAGTGTTTTTTTTAAGTGGAAAAAACAAAGCAGGGTGACTCTTCTCTTGCACACTTTAATAAACCGTGGAGGGGAACATGGATCTAAATCTCTCACCCTCAAGAGTCTTAAAAACTTGGGGACAAAGTGAAAATAAAGCTCTAAACTTAAATTTCAGTTATGGCTTCCTTTTTTTTTAATTCAGAACTAGACCTGTGGTCTTGACCTCCAAGGTTTGCGAGATGTTGAAATCCAGACTGGCATTCATATGTTCTTTTCTGACCTTTTCTAAGGAGTCAATATTGAGAAAAATATTACTCAACTACTACTTACAAAACAATGGGTCCATTGGCTCCCTGGAAGACCTCATTTGGTAATTTTTCTAGGTTGTGATTATCACTTAGGTTTCTGAAAAACACAATATTTTATGCTGAAACAATCTGAGACTAAGAAAAAATATCTTGCAGAAGATACTTTCTTCGTTTTTCAGAATTGCAAACAATAGAAATAGTTACAGCTCATCCAGGTATGTTCCATTAAATGCATGATCCTCAATGTCCTGAATTCCATTTTTATTGAGCCATCTGCAATAGAGAAAAGGAAAAGAGAGTTGTGTTCTTATTTACGCTTCATGACTAAAATGTATGCAATTCAAAACAGGGAATCTCAAACAAATAAAATCATTAAATGGACAAATCCTAGCCTGGAAGACCCCAGTAGTTGGAGGAAGGCTTTGGAGGGGGCAGACATGAATAGGGTGGATGAGTGCTACCATCAGAGAGAGCAGCTGGAGTAAGTTCCTGAAGTAAGGTCAGAGCTGCTGAAGATGCTGGTGCTGCTCATGGCTCCACTGGGAAGGCAGCAGAGCAGTCAGGGAAACCAGAATCTTTCCTGTTGGTGCTGTCAGTGCCACTCAGTTTTACTTTTAGCAAGATGCCTTTGAAATGCTGGGCCACTGCTTCACCTTTGCCAGTTATTAGGGAGAAAAGTCTGCTGTGTGCCATGGGCTGACATCCACAGCCAGGCAGGTGGAGGAGGGGGGTTGATGGTCACTGAGCCAGGCAGGAGGGCAGGAGGGGCAGCCAAACTGCCCAGAAAGCAGGTGATCCCTCCTGCACTGCTGCCTTGACAAATTACACTCCCTGCCTGCTCTGCTGCCCAGTCCTACCTCCCCAGGCTCCTTTCCCCAGGAGGAGGCCACAGGTAGCAAACCTGGCAATTGAAGCTCCTGGGGCTCTCTGCCAAGATTTTACTCTGGTGCATTACCTAATTAACGTTTAATGACCTTCCTTCTGTCCCTTCACAGTGCTAAAAATTTACATTTAGGTCAGTTATATTTATCATATTTACGGTGCAATCTTTCATCTCGCCTTAAACGTCACTTTGCAGCTCACGCCCTCTCCGGCAGGCAGCGGCAGGTCTGATTGATGGCAGAAATGGCCTGATTTAATTAAACTGTCAGCAAACCTGGACTCTTTTCTAATTCACTTTGAAAGCTGAGCATACGTGTGACCCACTTATCTGAGGTCTGAGGTGGTGAGCTAAGGTCAGCATGGAAATCAGTCATGGGTCTGGCTGAAAGGATTGCTCTTTTGACCATGACAGGCAGATGCACACGGCTCTGTTTCTGTAATGTCTGTCAGGCTGGATCAGGAGAACTGTCACCGTCCCCTTCACTTGCCAGCACTATTAGACATGAGTGAGCAGGCACGGAGGAGAGACAGGTCCCTGCTTACAGCATTTGAAACATTTATTATATTACATTGATCTTATAAATTTGTAGCTGCCAGACTGATAGATATGTTTTTAATCACACTATTAGCACTTACTGCATTCTCTCACTGAACATGATGCTAATGCAATGAGATACTAAGGTTGTAAAACAGTCACTGTAGCCACACAGTGTGGACTATATGGTCCTGTCACCTGGCTAATAGCATCTGAGTAGTAAAAAGAACAAAAAAAATTACCCAAATCCTAAGATCTCATTATGGTACACATTGATGAATTCCTGTTGAAGCAAATTCTCTCCTCACTTCAACCAGCATCCTTACTGACTCCACTAACTCTTGCATTAGCAAAGTGCCAGTGAACAGAGATCAGAGCTTGGACATGGAGGCTTTTCCTTATAATTTCATGGCTAGAGATGATTTTTAAAACTCTAAAATTCATCCAGTGCAAGAGGTCACGGTCCCTGAGGAACAGGAATTTACACCCTATTTCAGGACTGGAAAGATCTGTCTTAGAGCCTAAGTTGCATGCAGACCTGGAAGCAAGGTGGGTTTCTTCCATAAATTTCTAGCACTTCATTACCAAATGTCTCCTCAGTTTCCACCTGTGCTGATCACATGCATTGCATAAGATCAAATCCAAATTACTGGTGGAAATATGCTTGAAGCTTTCCTTAGCTAAGTCTATCAAAATGGTTTTTCCCTAGAATATGGGGGTTCAGTGGGTCCTAGGTGATTTTAATCAACTTGATATGCCTGCTTTTGCTAAAGGATGTTGCTGTGACTCAATGTTGAGTTGCCGTGACTTCAGTTTTTTATAGAAAAATGGCAAATTTATGGCTAAAATGAACGAGCTTCACCACAGCACAAGGAAAGCCTAATCAGGGACTCTCAAAGGATGGGTGCATGCAGGGTCTCCTGATTGCTCTATGGAGAAGTAGAGTAAGGTCAGGACATTGTCTGACCAGGGTGCTGGAGGCCAGGTCTGTCCACATGGCTCTCGCTGCTCTTGCACACACTGGTGGGTGTGGGGAGCCCGTGACATCACAGAATCATAGAAAATTTGGGGTGGAAGGGACCTTGAAGATCACTTGGTTCCAAACCCCCTGCCATGGACAGCAACACCTTCCACTAGACCAGCCTGCACAAGGCTCCATCCAACCTGGCCTTTTGCACTTCCAGGGATGGGGCATCCACATCTTTCTTCTCTGGGCAACCTGCTCTTCTGCCTTACCCCCTCACGGTAAAGAATTTCTTCCTGATAACAAGCAATGAAACATTTTGGGAGAGAGGGGAAAGCCAACTTCAAGCTGCTCGAGTGCCACAGAGAGATCAAAACACTGCAAAACTTTGGGGTATTAACCTTACCCTCCAGTGGTATTATGAAAACAAACATAGTATTTGTTGTGCAGTGCTTTGGAAATACATACTTGAGAAAAGTCTGTGTGTGTGTATATGTGTGTTTGTGTGTGTGTGTGTGTGTGTGTGTGTGTGTGTGTTTTAAACTTCAGAACTTGAAGTATAGAGAGTCTGTGCATAACTGATAGGGAAAAGGGAGAGATAAAGCTAAATGACTTGTAACTGGCCTCTCTTCAGTATTGGTGGTCTGACCTTGATCTCCCCAGAATTGACATGAGCTCAGTCCATTCAAACCTCGCTTTTCTCTTTCAGTGTGCCAGGTAAACCACATGGTAGGAATTTTTTCCAATCTGGCCACTGGCTAAGCAAAAGGAAGGCAGCTTGTTAGCAAGCAAACAGTATGTTTTGACATACAGGGAGAAAGGATCAAAGAAGCCAGCTAGTTCATTAAAATACATGACTGTTCAAATCAAATGTAGAGCCATCTAACCATGCAGCTCCACACTGAATTGTAAACCCACCCGTACCAATGCATTAACATTGTGCACAAATAAACCACATTTCCACAACATCTTCATATATTCTGCCCAACTAATAAACGTCTTTGAGTGATGTGTCTCACTGTAAATATTTATGAGTCGTGCCATCCTTTTGAACACAATTTGTATCACAGGGAATGCAGCTGTAGCTGTTTAACCTTGGCATCGGTAATTACTAAATTCGCTCTCTGATGTGCTTCTAAAATAAAGATCAGGACTAAAACACAACACCAACAAAAAAAAAAAAACAAAAAACAAAAAACCCACAAAAAAAAACCCACAAAAAACCAAAAAACCCAAACAAAAACAAAAAACCCCCAAAAGCATTCATTTGTTTCATGGCAGGGAAACTGAATACAGAGATCTCAGGGGCAAGGAGAAATTAAAATCTCAAACTGAATTTGGAAGTGTATGAAAAAGTGCCCAACTCCTGCTATCCTTGACCCTGTTCTGGAAAAGAAATGAGCTAACAAGGAGAAAAATGAGTTTGCTATGTCTACTCACAGAATCACACTTTCAGAACTCAGGTTCATGAATGAATTTCTTTCAATTGTACGTATATTGATATTGTCTTGAATATCTCTGAAAAATAAAATACAATAGAAGTGACACCTTTTTCTACTTCTACGAGCCTTTCAATACAATATGCTGCTTCAAACACAGTATTTTTCCTTTATATTCAATCTGAGGAAGTACTACAGACAGAGGGTAATGACCAAAGTTTCCAAGACATTTTTTTCCCCATGGAGCACAAACCTTCCTGCTAAAAAAGGCTGGAGCAAAACATTTCCAACACCCCCACACTTTCCTCCCAAATAGGCTGAAGACATTAAAATGCATATAAGCTCAGGTCTATAACCCTGAGGCAGATGAAATAGCTCCTCCAGCAAACATACTCCCCAGAAATGCAATGGGAGGGGCTGCGAGGCCATCCCTTCTCCCAGCCTCCCAACCAGAAGGAGGAAAGCCATTAGCCTCTTTGGCCTGATTCAGCAGGGTACCTACCAGCCCATGAATCATTCCCCAGCTGATGTCAACAGGGTTGCTTATAAGCTTGGTATGTGCTTAAGAACTTAAATGCAGGACCCCTGTCAGTGCAATTTGTTGAATGGACAAATAAGAATTTCCGTCTTTTCTCAGTTGTGACTGATACAAAAAAAAAAAAAAAAAAAAAAAGAAGAAAAAAAAAAAAAGAAAGTTCTGTCGCTGGCTCAATACAGGCCTCAGAGAAGTTAAATAGTGTTACTCATAATTTAGACTGGGGATATTGCTGTTTCCATGCTGTTTCTGTTGGAAAGCAGGGAACAAAATTAATTATCTGCAAAGCTTGCAATTAAGTGTGGTTCCAAAATTATCTCATGCTGACAGCTCCATACAGCCACAATTCTGCACAGTGACACTTACACAGAGGCTTCATTCAGCAAACTGAGGGCAGCAGGGGCAGGAATAGGGAGGGAACACAGCACCCATGCAAGTGAACTGTATCCCTCTACTAAAGCTCTGCCCTTTATAAATTTCAAGACCTGTCTTTGGTACTTAAATATTGGCACAGCTTGAGCCAAGTGGAATTCTCTTATTGAGCTCAGAGGGTCCAAGGTTTGAACAGAGGTCTAGTTTGGGACTCAATCAGTATCAAGGTCTATTTTTTCATACAGGGAAGTGAGGAGTTGCACCTAAAAAATTAAAAGCTCCTGCTGGTACAGGTTGCAGTAATTCCTGTCTAGTTAAGACTGATGATAAACACAGAGATGTACAGGTGAAAGTCCCTGTAGTGCCATAGCTGTTGCATTTCCTTGATGGTTTTGAGGAGCAATGAACTGAAGTTCTCAGAATTACGTACAACAAGTGTATTCCTGAAATGGATTTCTTACTTTATATGTCTGCATACTATATTCAGTCAACCCCCTCTATATTTTATATTCATTTTTATTGATATTAATGGGTATTATAAGATAGCCATTAATAATTGCAGGATTAATGTTTCTGCAGGTTGAAATATTCTAATCAAAGACTGAAGATGCAGAACTTTGTATGTGAATTAACAATAAATCTTCTCCAAAAGAATGTTTTCAGTTATACTAAGGATTGATTGAGAAATGTATGCAAAAGATTTTTCAGTGAAAAAGAAACCAAGTTTTTCTGATGTTAATTTTTTCTGCAGAAGAAGAAGAAGAAGTTCTTTAGGAAATTAACAACCTGTTTTCATGCAAAATTTTGCACAAATATTTTTTTTTCTTCATTGGCACTGGAGTTTTCCAGAGTAAAAAATTTCATTTTCTGGACAGTGTTACTGACAGGGGAAAATAGAAAAGGATATTGTAGATAATTCCCTGGGTCTGGGTTTTGGTGTGGTTTGTTGTTCTTGTTTTTCTTTTCTTTGTGATGTGGCCACTTCTGATGGAACTTAGCTCTGATATCAGTGACTCTTCCCATGCAGGTCAGAAACTTTTTATCAGGTAACAACAAATTTCCACTGCCACCATCCTGGTTTGGATTTCAACTTCTGAAAGAGGAGTTAAAGGCTGTTGCCTGTCCCCTGGGCCACCCAGACACGTGCTCACACTGCAGTTAAAGGAAGAGTGGTCTGTAAAGTGCAGGTTCCAATGCTTTGTAGAAGGGAGACCTAGAGAGAACTGGGACCTTCTGACACCCAATGCCTGCAAAATCACAATCAACACGCCACTGTGGAGACAGCAAATGAACTCATGGGGAATCGTGTCTTGAAAGGCTTTGCTGGAGCAGAACAACACTCAAAGGCAGCTTTCAAAATGTGAAAAGCAAACAATTCAAACTTACAGCAAAACTTTCTGGAAAGAGTGAACCTTGTGGACAGCAGGTAAAAACCGAAGGCCAGTGTTTGATATTAACCTAAGGGGAAGAGAAGATGAAGATTATTCAGTCTGCTCTTGGAAAGAAGGCAGCAATTAATGAAGAAGAACATTGGACTTAAAATGGTTGTCACAAAAGGCAGAGTTTAGCCACAGAAGTGAGGTTTCCCAGTAGGAAACTTGAAATTGTAATTTAAAAAGGTTCTTGTCCAAAGTACAAGCTGAGTTCTGCCAAAAGAGGTAAAGGGAGAAAACCTACATTGGATGATAACACAGTCCCACCTGATGATCTCAGTAAATTGTCCATAGTAATTTCCTAACAATATTCTAAGAAATCAACTGCATTGACCCAGTATAATTATTTTCATGGTAGCTGTTCTAAGACAAAAGTATTAACCCACCACAATTTTAACCTTCTACTATAATAGAGAACACATTAATTCCAGGGGAAATTAATTGATGAAATTAGGAGAGAATTAGGACATTTTACTCCCCAGCACCTTTGATACTGAGGAGCCAAAATCATGGGAACATTTCAGCAGTTTGTGTAGCTGGAAATGGACCCAAACCTCTGTCCTTAGATACCTCCACCCTCCCACTGCACTGACCATCACTGGCCTCTGCACTGTGGTTCCTGTCTATGAAACACCACCCCAGAACTGCTGACCCTGAAGGAAAACACTGTGCTCACAGCCAGTGAGATCACTGGTATCCACAGTGATGGACCACATCTAATTTAGTCAAATTTTGTTATCCAGAGAATAGCAGGACAGGAAAAATCTGATGTAGCCATGCAGCAGGAGATGACTGGTGGCTGCTGATGGCTGGAAGGAGGGCTGAGTGCTGGAAGGAGGAGCTGGACTGGACTGGCCTCTGAACATTTGGGAGCTTTTTCCAGACACCAAAAAGTCTCATGTTTACCCCACCACACAAAGAGAAATGTTGGATTCTTGAAAGTTTGATTATACCTTTGTGTTTTTAATATATGAGATTGTAAAGAAGGTAACCTTTCACTGAGAATATTTGGTTTCTTAAGGAACACAGGATATGTAAGGGCTCTTTTTTTTTTTTTTTTTTTTTTTATCCTGGCACTTAGAACAATATTATTTCATTATTAGATGTGATTTTTTTTTCTTTTATTTATTTTTTAAACAGTATAATTCCTGAATAGCTGAATTGTGATCAAAGGACTGGTTGAGACCAGAAAAAGGTAACATTGTTCATATGATGTTTTTTTATGAACCTAGATTATTTCAGGAGAGTTGCAGTCTTTCAGGTTTCATAATTTGAGTTGAAACTGAACGCCTACATGTGACAACCAAATCCTACATTTGGGAACTCAAGATGACACATAAGTCCATAAAAAAGCCATTCACTTGCATAAATACTGCTCTGAGATCCCTGAGATGGTATCTGGGTATCCTCAGATGCGGAAAAGCCAACTTTCATCTGTCTCATCTTGTAACAGAAAGCAATAGTTCATATGCAGGGAAAAATTAAAGTACTATTAGTGAATATTGAAGAAGGCAATTTGGGAAAGTTGCTGAAATGTCAAGATTGTTTCATCTCAGGATTCAGAGTGGTCTGACATTGCATTAATGTAAAAATAGCAGCTGTCAAGTGTGACCAAGAAAGCGCCACAAAAATGCCTTTGAAAAACTATTACATATAGTTAAATAGAAAGCATGATTAACAAAGTAGGTGGATTATACAAGGTTAGTTAAAACATTTCTGCACTTACACTTCGTAAAAGGACTTTGCCAAAAAAAAAGAAAAAAAAAAAAAAGAAAAAAAAAGAGAAGCAATAGGAGAAGAACCTGTAACTCCCCCTTACAATATTTTAAAATACACTCTCCAAATTACTGGAGATATTCAGGGTTTTAGTGGAAAGCTGCCTTTAATTTCAAATGAGTCATATGCTAAAAATTTGTGCAAGCTTCTTTTACATGCCCCTTTTAAACACAAATTATGGCATACATTTCCCTTAGTAGGAAAATGAAGGAGGAGACTGCTGACAAGTAGTGTGTGGCTACTTCAGGACAGAGAAGACATTAGAAGCTTTTCTTTCTACAGTCCTTTCCCAAGAAAATCTCAGTCCTGATGGTGCAGCAATGAAAGGTGACATCTGCTATTCAAACACTGCTCCCAGGGGCAACTTAATCCCAGCATATCAAAATTCCACATTGGTTATCAGGGCTTTCACCATACATGTGAGAAAAAACATCTCCAATGCCTTGGGTTAGTTCTGATCTTTCCACTAATTCCAAAGTGTTCAGGGCTCAATTTTCACTGGTGTCAACTGAGCAGCATGAGATGAAGAGGAAAGCATCTTTGACAAATCATTCCATATTGAAGTAAATCTACAGGTGGTACAAGGCACTGATTGCACAGAGGCACAGAATGGTGATTAGGAGCAGGAGAGGATGCTCTTTTAATTAAATGCAGAAAAAGAACTGAGAAAATATTTAGCTAGACTTCAGCCTAGATCTTCCCTCTCTTTTTATTCCACCAGCAAATCTCCAGAGGCCTTTAAGTGGATAATCTTTTTAGAATGTAGATAATCCAATTTACTGAATATCTTTCCTGCAGGACAGCTCTGTCAATATATTTACCATACAATGTATACATCCTTAGTAACCTCACTTTAAACAAGTGTCCTCTTTAATCTGTGTTATAACTGAGTCCCCCTTTGCCATGCATAAACAGCTTGGTGAGAACCCTTTTTTTTTCAGATGGCTGATGGCTGCATTCCAAGGTATTAATTGTCTTTCTGAAAAGGCTTACTAGACTCAGCACTTAAGAAAACAGAGCACCACAATCATCTGAGGAAAAAAAAAATCAGAAACTAATTCCTGGAAGATTCTGGCTGCTTATCTCCAGATATAGCAGCATGTCTGTTTTTTTTTTTTTTTTCTTGTGCCAAATTGTAGGAGCTATTCTGACAAATATAAGAACACAGTTTACTTCATCAATTTACAGCGGGTATTTGCGAAATTGCAGACTCAAGGTAGGCAGAGATAAACACAACTTCACTCAGGAAGCATTATCTTTGTGTCCCTTAATCACACTGGTCACTTGATGGTGCTTGTGAGCCTGATTCCAGCGGGACATTCCTCTGATTCAGGTATCCCAGGCTTAAATCTGCAGCCCCCACTCCTGGGGGAAGGTCTTTAACTGTGAGGCTGCCACACCAAAGGATGGAGTGGAACATCACTTCTTTTTATTCAAGAGTCAGCTCCAAGAAAAGGTCAGGAATTCTGTGGGGTCTGCTGCACCTGCAGCAAATGCAGATTTGTGTTTGGGAAGCACCAGACAGATACAAGTTGCTGAAAGACTTGGAGTTGGGCTCTGCTCCTTCTGCAGGCAAAACCCATAATTTTGGGACCTACATTTTCCCTCCTCTCCAATAATTCAGTTGTATTCCCTCAAAATTAACCTGAAAAGAGAGTTACATTCAAATCTTTGTATTGTAAGCTGAGATTGCGTAATGCAGGACATGGACATCCCTCGAAAATGAACCAAAGGACATATGAGAACTAATTTTGGAAAGAAAATGAGTTTGCAAAGCCATCACTACATTATTAAAGAGACTATGTCACAGGTCTCCCTAATGAGAGCCAGATAAATAATCTTGTACCCATGAAAAGGTCAGTAAGTTACCATTTTGAAGCAGTCTGTCTCTCTGGCACATACCCAAGCAAACCAATTAGCAATTCTCTTCACTGCTTCTAAAAGACTGGTGAGAAAGTTAAGGTTGCCTGTTTCTACAAGGTTTAGACTATTCAGCACTGCATTTTTTCAGCACTTTACTTTTCTTTGTGTTTCTTGCCATTTTGGTAATGATGATGCAGGAGAAAAAGGGAGTGACAAAGGGGCTGAAGAGGAAATGTATTAGTCTCCAAGTTGACAGAGATAAAAGCATATTAATATTCAACAGCTGGTGGCCATAATGAGGCCATGAAGCCAATGAGGGGACTGACAAGGCTAGCTAGAGCTTCTTGCCTGCCCATAAACATGACCCAGTGGCTATAAAATTGTTTTTGTAGAAACACAGAGAAAGCCTTGCAAACAATGTGTTGCAAAGGTCATTAAACTAATGGGCTGTAGTACCTGGGCTCAATTTTGGACATTGAGACTGATTAATTTTTTTTTTCTCTGTGTTTTCTGAACAAAATCCACCAGTAAATACATTTTTTTTTTTTCTGAAAGATTTTCTGCACTGTGTTTTAAGAGTTCTTCCACAGCCACAGAACTGTGTAAGGAATCAGAACACATTGTCTTGTACCCTGCCAGATTGTCCCCATAGCTGGGAGCTTCAGAAGAACCACAATGATCCAAGGATGGGCAGGTACCCAAGTCCAAGTCCTTGTGCTTTGAGATGCTGGTTGCAGCTTGGTCTCTCTGTACCTCCTTATACAGTCAGACAGAATCACCTAATCTGTTATGTGACAAGATATTGACAAAACCATGTACTATTCCTTCCTAACTTACAGCAATTAATGCAAAAATTAGGCAGTGATGTACAGGTTTACAAGTTTCCAGGTTTTACAAGTTTCCTTCCATGGCCTTAAAATTTTTATCATTTCTGCAATAGTTATTCCACACAGATGCTTCACCCTTTTATGAATTATTTTAAACTATAGTCCCACACATTTACAATCTTTTGCTTGTGTATTGTATAAAAAAACCCTGAACAACCACCACAAAACCCCTTCCTGACTGAACTGAAAAACCATCAATCTATTAACCTACTCGACATCTTACCTTTTATTTTCAGTATTGCCTCTTCCTTGCATGTCACAGGAAGGTGAATATGAGGACTGGGTTACCTTTATCAAATGGTGTTTTACAGCCTTCCATCAAGGTTTCTGCTTTCTCATTAAATTAACTATCCTACCCTTTTCAACAGCAAAGCTTTCTCCTATTCAGTTCCCACAAGGACAAGCAGTAGTCAGCGAGGCCAGGGGATGGGAAAATGGCATCTTTTCTCCAGAAATGCAGGGGAGAACACGAAGGTGTGGCTGCACTTAGAGAGGTGATCTGAGCACGGTGTTACTCAGCATCCCGTCTCATTGGATGCAGAAAGTCCCCAACAAGAACTTTGTGCCCATGTGGGGAAATGATGCAGCTCCACTGAAGCCAACAATATGTCACAGATTTATACCCCCAGCACATCTTCCTCAACCCTTGTTATTAGAACATTCATCCGTTCAGGAGGTCCAGCCAGGAAATCTGCACCTTTTGTACTCTCTACTAAGCTGCCACCATTAAAACCAACTAGTTTTAAATGGACTTCATTGGGGTTTCATGCAAGACTGGGGGGTTTTACCTCCTAAAATGAAGGCACAGAGGGGGTGCAGCATGAATCCATTAGTGGAGTCAATACCATGGATTTTATGAACATAAACCAGAGAAAAGCTTTGGCACAAGAATGAACATGAATTAAGGAGCCATGAATAAACTAGAGGAGATCTTCTAGTTGTCAAATCATTATGTTTCTAGAAAAACCTCTCCTGGAAAATGGAAGAAAGCAGGGAACAGTGAAGAGCATCAGGAATTTCAATAAAGCACTTAATTAATGGGATATATGAAGTGGATCTGGGAAGAAATAGGATATAGCAGCTGGAGAGTCTCTTCTAGCCCTCAATGCTCACAAGAGAAAAAACCTTTAAAAAAGTTCAAAATGCAGTTTCCTCTGATATCAGCTAGCAAATAAAACTAGCTGAAGAGGACAGTGGAATGGTCAGGTAGACAAGCAATCCTCTGTATTTTCAGCCTATTGCTTCTATAGGTCATAGGATTGATATGGCAGCTGAATTTTTACATAGGCGGAACCTCTTAATGTTTGAGTCAACATGCATAGGAGTGTGGAATGAGAACTGTTCAGAAGAGGCAACATCCACTAGCGCCAAGAGAAAAGCACTATTTCAGATATTTAAAGTGTGGCTTTACCTTCACCTATGATTTCCGTGTCCCATATTTAAATGTTCACTGAAATTAGTGTGTTCTTTAGTATGTTCACATTTCGTCTTCAATTTCATGTGAGATAAATATGCTCTCATTCTTTCTACCCATCTGTACATCTGACAGCTGTACTCCCCATGGCAGCTTGTTCTGGGGATTTTACATGGGATAAACAAATGCTGTGGTTTTGTTCTTAGATGGCCAGAGCTACTCAAAGACAGCAATCACTGCTGGATGACTCAGGCTTGAAACGGAAGGAAAAAGGCACATGACAATGCAAACTTAGAGCTTTATTTCCCTACTGTCAAGAGAAAAATCTGGGTTCCAGTTATGCAAACACAAAAGTTAAAGTTTACCAAGCTGTCTAATGAATTTGATAAAGTGGGAATCAGTCAAAATACTGGGAAGAGCAAAAATCCTATTCCAAATCTAGACACATGTTCCAGTTCAATGAGGGTTTAAACTGTAATGGCTTCTCTAGTGCTAAATACACCTTATCTCCTAAAGTCCAAGTCTTAAATCTCAAATTTTAAAGTAAAAATTCAAAGTAATGCCCCTTGGCATTTTTGAACCCAGAACCTGTCAAATACTAGTGATTTTCAGAGACTTCAAACACTCCTAGGCTTACTGAGAGCTGCACTTATCAGACCACTGACCTGATTTCATACTGTCTTTATGAAATCTCTGACCAGACAATTAACTGTTTCCTTTTAGGTACCAAAATGTAGCAACCATGACCAGGCTTCTTGCATGAGTTAGGAAAACAAGGCTTCTTGTATGAGTAAGGTTTCTTGTGTCAGTCAGGAAAATCAGATGGGGTTTATGTGCTCAGGTGAATGCACATACAAAAGTTAAGTTGGTATCCTGCTGGGTGAATAAACTGATATCCTGCCCACCAAAGGGCACTATTTGAGCTGTATAAGCTGGCACTATTAAAACCAACTAGTGGTAAATTGAGTTCATTGGACTTCATTGTGGTTTTAATGCAGAGGACAGATTGTCAGTCACGTTAAAACCATGTGCTAAAAGCTGTGAAAATATATTTGAGTAACCAGATTTCTGCAAGGATGCATTCAGCTGCCACTGAATTTTGATGGCAACTCCACAGAAGCAGATGTGGCAACCACAGTGGTGCAAATCACATTCTTGATGAGGCTGGCTGTGGAAATAAAGCTGTACATACAGCTTTATTTTGTATTTTGTAAACAATTATTTTGTATCTGAATACAGCTATATGTTTGTATTTTGGGGATCTAATAATCTCACATCAGGCATTCATGAAGAGCATGGCTGTAACACCACCTTTGCCCAAGAAAAAAATAATTTGAATGCTTATCATCATGTATGTGACATATAACAGAAGGCCACAGCATAGCAAAGACAGATGAGAAATTTTATTTTTGTCCCTAAGCTCCTGGGAGAGGAGCTTAAACCTAAATTTGAAGGGGGGAATTGCAACCTAAATTTCTTTCTATAGATGTAAGAAAGCTCCAGCTCCTCTTCTCATCAGTCATTTTCAACCTGTTGCTTAGAAAGGCTCAAGGAATTTGTGTGTGGGACTCCTCTGTGGAAGCTTTATCTTCAGCTTTTCTGAGGACTGTGCAGGCATGAAAATGTGTCATGATAACATGCAGCTGGTAGCGAGGAGAGGGAATTATCCTGTCTTATCACCCAAAGTGCTCAGCACCAGCTGGAAAATACACAGGTGTGTAATTCAAAGTGACCCTAGGACTTGTAAAGAGCAAAAGATCTTACAAATATCTGAGGCTCGGAAGGTGTTGGAAGGCATCTTTATCGATGTACACGAGGTTGTTGGCTTTCTCAATTCTTCTGCAAAGAGGAAATGAAACAGTAGAGAAAAATATATCAATATACTGATCTTAAAATTATGTTTGTCCCATGATGCAGTGGAACAATATGCTGAGATTTTCTTTTTGACAGCAGAAGATCTGGATGATTTCAGGGAGCAGCCCACCATGGACAGGCAGACCCCACCACCTTTTGATCCTGGCAGTGATCTGAGGATAAATTTTCCCCTGAGCAGGTGAAGAAAGGGACAGCTAGATAAGAAGATGGAAAAGACAAAGGGAGATTTCAAATGCTCCTATAATGCTACAAATTCTTCAGTGCTTACCTGAACCAAACTGCGAAACCTTTGATACTTGCCTATAATGAATCTTTATAATTGTCTCCTTTGCATTTAGATTGCTCATTACTTACATTTCATGTAGTTTGGGAAGGTTGGAAAACACATTTGCTTCTATGACCTCCAAGGCATCATTCTGTGAGATCTCTCTGCAAAATAATTTAGAAGTCAAGATATTTCAAGTCATGGTGAAGCAGAAAATGGAGAAGTGAAAAATTCACAAGGAACTTCTCAGATTACTGATGAGTTTTAAAAACAAGGAGGATATCAGATAAGAAAACAGAAACACTGATGACTACTGCTGTGGCAAGCAGCAACAACAGTCACAAACAGAGAGCTGAGGCTGGAGTTTGTATGTGCAGCATCAACCCTGCATGTCTTGCTGCCTCTATTCCCTGTGCATTAGAAGTCAGGGTCTATCCATCATGGGGTACTGGACTTCTGACATTACTAATTACTGATAGAAATTTAATGAAACCTTTTAATTCAGTGAAGAAAAGAGGGGGTGAAGGTGACTGAAAACAAAAAGGTCCCCAAGAAATATGACACAGCTTCAGCAACAGGACACTGCTGTCTTGACCCAATGGGAAGAACAGAGATTAAAATTAAGCCACCAGAAGATGCGCCATTGTCAACAGCAGCTGGAGACCACAGAAGTGAAGAAATCTTCCACAGCTTGGAGCAAACCCAATTTGACATGGTCTGTACATGGTTAATGCCCACTTACAGCCAGAGAACTGCAGAATATAAATGGCCAGTTTTACTGCTATCACCACACCAGAATGCATCTCCTGTTAGTCCAGAGCACATATTTCTTTGCTTCCTTAATCTGTGGGACAGCAAAGACAGGGCTCAGGCTCTGGTGTAATTTAGAGCTCAGGAATTTCCCCATGTGAATCAAGAGGGTATTTCTGCAGTGTCCCCTGTCCCAGTCACATCACTTATCCTGGCACTGACCAGGAAGGCCGAGGTAAAGACAGCTGTGCCAAAAGATTCCTCACTGCCATTTTTTTTGGAAGTGGTGCCAATTTCTTTTTTTTTTCTCAGGCTGAGGTCAGCTGTAGGAAGTAAAATTTGTAATACAGTTATAATTCAGTGATAGTTCATGGTCTATTGCATTTTAATCATAAGGTAACTGCACCCATCTTTGGAATGAAACCTTGGATAAATAGATTGGAAATTGGATGACACTTGTTCCTGGATATCTTGTTATTTTGAAATTATGATGGTTACAAATAGATTCAAATAGGCCTGAGGTAAAACAAGAGATTGTAATCTCAGGTGCACGGTCAAAAAATAATCATAAAAATTAATCAGAGGAATATAAATGTATTCCACTCTCTTCTAAGTAACAGCTGAACAATACCTGACAGATTACCTGCCCATTTAAGACAAAAAAAAAGCCTTGCAAAAGAAGATGTGTTTTTCACCTGACCTTTTCAGTTTTTAAAAAATGCCATATTGGTTTAATATTTTTAGTTTAATAAGAAGTTTTCCCTTCTGTTTCCTCAAGGTTTTTTTATGGAAGAAATACAACTCTGCTCTGCTCCAGGAGCTCTAAACTGGCAGGAGAATAAGAAAATAAAAGTACATGAGAACTGACTTGGTTGGCAGGGTGCATTGAGGACTGGGTTTGTTTAGCAGTGCTGAACCACCAGCTCACATGTGAGTGTATTCCTCTTTATTACTTAATTTTCAGCAGCAACAAAATGTTTCAATGGAGACAGGGATTCCTTCATGCCACATGAGATACACATCCATTGCAAGGGATGCTCCAAAGATTTTTTTATCATCTTCCTGTTTTGTTTAAAAATTACAAGTAGAAATATCCAGAAGGATAGAATAGAATAGAATAGAATAGAATAGAATAGAATAGAATAGAATAGAATAGAATAGAATAGAATAGAATAGAATAGAATAGAAGCAAACACTCCCTATGAGGTATTTATATGACAGTATAAAATTCACTTGCTAACTACAGTCTCAAATATTTAACAATGTGGGAGGTGTCTTACACTTTTAAGGTTTGGTTTGGTTTTCCCCATGCTCTTTTTGGGTGGTCAGGTGTATATTTGTCATTCTTAACAATCTAAAAATAACTTGTCTAGAAAAAAGAAAACCTTCAGAAAAAGCAGCACATTTAATACCAACAAATACATTTAGCCGGACGATACTTCATGCCACTAAGAAGTTCAGGGAAAAAAATGTTGCAGATGTGTTGGCCTTATACACGGAAAAAAGGGTTATTAAGAAACCATAATACAGTTGTGACCTCACTCAGCAGATAGTGCTGCTGAGGGTAATAATTTTTTATGATCCAATCTGCTATCTAACTTTGGAACAACTTGGATGACACAGCTTTTTTAATATATTGCTTAAAAATGAATGTTTCTGCATCAGAAGAGTGTTTTGGCTTCCAAAGTATGTGGTAGGTTATTGGCTTTGTTTCAATTCAAGAAATGGAAGATACAGATCTGATTAAAGTGAGGCACAAGCAGGCCATGGCACTCTGGAAGGCTTGGAGAATGCATGGTGAAGGAAAGGAATGAAGAGAGGTAGGAAGATAAGAATCTCTAAACTGTTTTTGTAAGATTAAGTTTTTAAAATAGTAAGTTTTTCGAGACTGCGTTTTAAACCAAATTAAATAACGCCTGCATGAGGGGTCTTTCAGAGATGTGGGAAATGCACTGTCTTTCATTCTAACAATCTCATTCACAGGTACAAAGGCAACAGTCTTGGTTTTTTTAAACAGGCAATGAAAATATGGACATATATAAATATGTCCATTTACAATGATATTTTTTCGTCTTCCAGCTGAAGCAAACCTCTTTTTCAGCTGTTGAGGTTATGAGCATCTCACGACCAGTGAAAGGAATAGAAGGGAAAACTGTCAGTGGCAGAAGGCAGTAACCCTTCTGGTGCTGGGCTGCATCCTCTGTGTTCAGGGGATTGCAGTGGTGAGGGAAAAGACCCTCTGTCCCTTGCAATGAACTGCATCCTCTGCCACAATCTCTCCAAGAAATCCTGGTGGTGATGACCTTACTCTTCATTGTTCTATGCAGATGAATCCCAGTTTTGGGCTGCACATAAACTTGACAGGGCTGTTGTTCAGATAAGAAGGATAAATAAAATAAAAACATTCTGTTTAGGAGATCAGGCACACACTGTGAACAATAGGCAGCACTAATCTGGGTTTTGGTTGCATAATTTGTGTGAACTATTTATTCATATCTAGCAAAAAGTTCACACCTGCTCCTGGAAATCCCAAACAACACTGTCTTGGATACAGGTTTCCATGACATTAAAAGTGCAAACCACTGTTGCTCACATCAAACAACCAACTCAGCAGACTCAGATCTTCTATAGAGGAGAGCAAATAACACCTGAGGCAGTATCTACAAAGAGGAAAAAGAGATTGCTGGCTAGTGTTTGTGCAAGTGTTTTGTCTTGCAGTATAAATACACACAAACAGATGATTGCTCATAATGCAGATCTGATTATATGTCATCAAGAGAGGAGATAGGGCTGTTATTACATTGTTTGTTTGGAATGAATAACACTATTAGTGCTACTGGTAGCTCTGGCAGGAAACTCAGCCAGCAATCCCAGCATCACTACTGAAACAGACAAGCCTTGTGTGTAAAACAGTCAGGGGCAATTTCTTAAAAAAACCCCAAATATCCAAACCACCCAGTGGTTGCAAAGTGCTTAGGCATCTGCCTGAGCTTAGTTTTCACTGCATGCAGAGTTGTACTGAAATCACCAGTGATCCTTGAAAGCATAAATTGTTTACTCAAATACAGCCTAAAAGATGAAAAAGCATCAGTAATACATTTTCTAAAGGCACAAAGGACAACTGCTTTTATTTTTCTGCAAAGAGAATGTAAGACTCTAAGACGTGACATCACATGATTAAGGGATCTCCTCTAATTTGCCACGAAAGCAGCAAACTAGAATCATTATTGCCCATTCCCCAGCAACTGAGTGCAGTGTATAATTTTCATGTGTGTCAGAAGAGAGAGAGAGATGGAAAATCATTTAATCTGCCTGCAAAGCTGCCCTTAGGCAATGCCAGAGGTACAACTTCATGATATCTGTGGCAGAGCCCAGTGTGATGCAGAGGAAGGATTCCTCTTCAAACCAGTTGCACCCAGAGTGCAACCTGTAAAAGTCAAGATACATCAAAATGGCCTTTTAAACAATTCTGTTAGCAAGGGACTTTGAGTTCATGGCAGTTTCTCTGTAGTCCACTGAAGGAAAAGTCTCAGGCTAACAAAAGTCTTACAGAAAAAACAAGATTGTATTAAACTCACAAGCCAATGATTTTGGGGCCAAGTGATCTAATGTTTCAAACCAACAAAATAATAATAGACTGGAAATTTATGACTTTTATGATAGGAATTCCTTTCAGGATCAGAGTGGAGCACAAAGGGATAGGGTATAAGGTAATTTCTTCTTCTGCTTGGAAATATGACTGTTTTTAAAAAATGTGTGCTTATGTTTGTGTGCCTTTATACAGATAATGAAGGTTAACAGAGATCATTTAAGTGGAAAGTTGTGTCAAAAGAAGAGCAGAGCATACATGAGGCAGAAGAGCTCAGAAGAGCAGCTTGGACCAGCATTAGCCCCTCACACGATGCCCAGGGATGTGTGATTTCTAGCATGGAGACTTGGTAATTGCAGCAGCAGGAATGATAGAGAGAAACTGCTGCCCACCTGGTGAGTTTGGCTGTCTTATGGCCACAGTAGATGTGGGATTTATGGATTTCTGCATTTCTTCTCCCCGAGGTGGACTAGCAGCGGGGACTGCCCTGTCTGTCAAGGCTTCCCTGGTCCTTGCTTGGTGTGTGCACCTTGAACATGGCTGGGGCACTGTGGGAGGCAGCCCTGGGGAGGATTCTTCAGGAATGCCATGGGAACTACAGTGGTATAAGGAAAAGTGTTGCCCCTGGATTCCCGCCTTCCCCGTGCAGATGAATGTATGTCTGTCAGACACTGTGCATTCCGCAGTTTATGTCTGCCATCAGTTGTACTATCCCCCTGTTCTAGAAAGTTCTACGTTCTCTGTTTCCCCATTAGTTCTCTTGAGTCAACCACTCCTTCCACTTGTTCCCATTGGTCCAGTTTATGCCAGTCTGTCCCTGCTCCC